GGCAAAAAGACAGACTCAATGTAATGATATTCACCATAAAATGTTAGGAACGGAATAGATAAAAAGAAACTGTTGGTGATAGTCACAATATTGGGACGACCACTCAGCCATGTGGCTTTCCAAACGACCGCCCTTGACGGTAAATTCATGGATGACATCTGAATCATACGAGATCTACATTCTGAGAGACTTCTCTTTTGTGATTCGTTGAACAAGTACGTTATAAGTTCTTCAAATTCAGCTGATTAGGCCTACTTGACTAATCTTTAATCCTACTGAGGCCTATCTATGTGTTCTACAGCATTCACACGTAATGTACATCATAGACCTAGGTCTAAATAAACATTACATGCAGTCACCCAAACACCAGTCAGAAACCCAATCAAAAAACATTTCAGTCCCCCAACCCCCCAACATATCACCAGGCCAATCCTAGACCTATGTGCCCGTGGAAAGTTAGGTGTGAAAACTCTGTCCATTACTCTCTTTGTTGTGCGCGAGGGCCAGTCTCACCGGTTGTCTAGGCTTGCCTTATGCAAGCTGTGCAGGTTGTAGCGAAAATTTCCCTTTGTCAAGCTTTAGTTTACCTGTCGGCATGTTTCGCGGATCGAAGCGTGCGTTTGGAAGAAGTGACCATGCGTTCGTATGTCTAAATTATATAGTAAAAAACGAGTGTGCTTTTGTACGGCGTGTGTTTAGGCGGAGACTACTGTACTGAAGTGAAGAGCATGCATGTTTAAAAATCTTAAGTTGTGTACATTGTACAGAACAACTCAGTATGTTACATAAATATATAATGTTTCTATGCAACTCTGTCTCTTCAGACTTTGGCTTGATGTCTGTGCATACATTGAGAGCTTGGGTCCGGCCTTGGCAGTCAATGAAATCACATCAAGGTATTCCAGCCTTTACTCATGAATTTTATTTTTTTACTACATGATGTATACAAAATATCTGTTCTGCTGATGTCTTGTAATTTGCTTCTGATTATGTTGTGATTTTGTTATCTTTTCTTGAGAATGCTTTGGACTTAACTTTTACCTTTTTATCAAGAGAGGGGAAAGAGAGTGGGAGGGAAAGGGAGGGAGCAAGAGTGTCAAGAGGGAGGCTAAATCGTATTTGTTGGGCTGTCTTTGCTGGCATTTGAAGATTTTGATTGCTTTGCCTGTGATTAGGCATTGTTTTTGAAAATAGAGAAGTTTAAACAAGCGAACTTAAAATTCCTCAAGACAGTCATGTGTCTTATACATTTAGTTCAAATTACTGATGATGTCCTTTTCCAATCTTCAAAGTCTTCACCCTCTCCTCCTTAGCCACTAGATACTTTGGAACAGTACCTCTTTGGCTCAGTGGGTTGCAAGGGGGTCTGATGTGGTCTTCCTTCTTCTTCTGTATATTTAGTGCTATGTTTCTCTTATTCTGCTTTCTGGCAACTTGTAGTAGTTATGTTCAGACTTGCAGTAAATTTTGTGATATGAAGTACGGTCTAGTATGCTCATAATGAAATCATGGTGACATGGAAATCTTTTCACTATATACGAATTTTGCTATGTACGTGTTTTAAATTCAAACAGTATATATGCAAGAATACTTTCTGGACCTGAAAATCTGTTCGCTATACATGATATTATATATATATATGCTTGCTAGACTGTATAGCCCCCATTTTGAACTGCTTTGTTTGAATCTGTCTTTAATGAACACTTTATCTTGTCTGTACAAACGTAGATGTCTCATCAAAGTTCGAAGAAGGATATATATATATATGCCAATATTGTAAATTTTGACTCATCAGTCTGCACCATGTATGTTACTAACACCTTCTCTTTCTTGGCGCCTTTTGTTTTGTCAGTGTATCCAGGAATGACCTCTTCACACGGGTCATCATCTTGAACTGGCTGTCATCACTTCGTCCCAACGTCACGGCTGACCATATGTTTGTGGTCCAGTTTACAGACACACTGTGGTCGCAGTACCTGGAGCTAGCAGCCTTGACAACGTATAAACAGTTCTCCAACTCGCTGAGCCACAGGCAGAAGCACCGTATGGTTTCTGTGCTGCTGCTGTTGGCAGACTTCATCACAGAAGTACGTCATCATGTTTTGTGGAGTTTCCTTGTTTCTCTTTTAATCTAATTCTTATTGAAAATTGGAAGACTGAGTTGACTGAATAAAAGTTAGTTAAGTTTGAGCAAAGAGAAGCTCATCAACATAATGGCCATTTAGTGTTGGGAAAGGGTGAAATGGGATCACATTGAGGTGTGAACTCATGGACACATTTGATTTCCACAAACTTCGTACTCACATTTGAGCCCACCACCTGAACTTACATTACATGCTGGGTGGGTAGGGTCTACAAGACCATGTCAGATGAGATCGCATTGAACTGTGAACCTGTCAGTGCTTGTGTTTCCCTGACTATTGCACTTGTCTTTCAGCTATTTTCCTGAGTTTGCTAGATGGACGGCACCCATGCTTGGAGCATGCGTTTGAGCTGAATATGTTTCTCTTCATACACAGGGTTTATGCCAATACCACTGCCTTAGCTGCTTTGAATTAATCGCAATGTTGCATCCCTTTGTTACTGTTCCGTAGCCAGTTTTGGTATAGTTTGGCTTTGTTGAAAATTGCTGAGATACGCTAGTAGTCCAACCTCTTTGAAAGTGTTGAGCCTTGTAATTTAAAAAAATTAATAAATTACTCTTTTATTGATCCCAGGGGGCAATTTGGTTTACAATGGCAAACATACATACGTTATACATACATACATAAATACTTATTATAAATACATACATACATACATACATAAATACATAATAAACACATGCACAAATATACATACATGAGAGGCTACATTTAAAGCAATCACAGAGTTCTAATAATATGATTTGTTCAAATGACTTTGTCTTGGCCAGGAGTCGAGCAAGCAGTACATGCCTCTCCTGTGGCATGCCCTGGAGCTGGAGTGCCACCCTTCGGTCCGGCAGAACCTGGAGTGGATGGTCATGAGGATCATAATAGCCTTCCCATCACGTGTGTCCACAGTGTGGGATGTCTTCAAACAGGTGTGGTTGTTATTTCATGATTTGTGTTTTGGTCAGTGTAATAATAATAATAAAACAGTTAACATACTGGTTATTTGGTCATCTCTAAGTAGTGTAGTTATAATAAAACAGTGACCATACTAGTTATTTGGTCATTTCTAAGTAGTGCAGTTATAATAAAACAGTGACCAAACTAGATATCATAGTATTATGTCGGCTGTGGAGTTTATAAAACAGTGACTATACAGTTATACTAGGTATTATGTCTTACCTGTAATGATAAAACAGTGACCATACAAGTTATTGTGTCATCTGTGTAGTGCAGTCATGGTAAGACAGCAACAATGGTAATTGATACATTATCCATACAATGTACATAGAATAAAACAGTAACCATATGTGTCACGACACAGTGGAATCAGGCGCTGGTCAATTTTTGGGCATATGGAGTTATTGGTAACATCTTAAAAGTCTGTTCATTTGTCTTGCATTTGGTTAATAAGATACTCATCTAACTTGAATAGAAGTTCAGATATTTGCAGTTGAAGGAAGTGGAGTCATCTGGTTTCAGAAAATTAGCGAGAAAATGGCCGCCAAAGTTGTGTCACTTCGATAACTTAAGAGTCCTTTGAAACTTATAATTTACATTTTTTGTGCCTTTACGTAATTCCCACAGAAGTGTCTTTTCAAGTGGACTTAACAGGTGTCGAGCCTAAAAACAAAAATTGGAAAAAAATTTCCAAACAGGCGGAAAAGTGCCAGTTTCTTCGATGTCATTATTTTGACCAGGGCCTGATTTCACCACAATGCCTCACATATTAATTAGTAGATTAACTATGTAGTGTAATAATTTATGACAAAATAACCCATATTAATTGAAATGTCATCTATGTAGTATATTGATAATGGAATATTAAACTTAGTAATTATTATTTCATCATTGTAGTGTAGATATTTAAATGAAACAATAACCATGATTACTATAATGCCAATTTTGTATAGTGGTTTGTAATAAATCAGTATAGTTGTGCCAAAAACAAAAGGCAAAATTATATTTCTAGTTTTGTAACAGTAATGCTGGAGCAGCGTGAGGGAGGTCTACTACAAGGGAGTGAGGGGATCAATATTGTAGGCTACTCTGGCTGCTCAATATTTTTCACATGGAAGGGGGTGGGGGTTCCATGACAAATGAAATGTCATTTGGTGTCATATGTACTAACTGGGTTTTGCAATGAGAAGCTTCAAACCATTCGATTGCAGTTTCATCGTAAAACTGAAACATACATGCTCAAATTTTACCCCATTTTGTCGGTAAAGTGCGAAAAGTGATTGCCTCCTACTGTTGAGATTTGGTGAGGCAATCGCTTTATGTAATTGTAATCACCACTAGTGATTTAGTGATATCATGGTTATGTAATTGATTCTTCTTTTGAAGCTGTTGCCTTTTGACTTGTATTCTCCTTTCAAATTTCATGTGGAGAAAAGCATTTATTTTTCTTCTTTTTTTTGTTTCAGTATGAGAATAAGAGAAGCGTCTGCCTGTGCTCACTGTTTCTGGTCCTGTCTCACTTAGGAGTTTTTCTCCCAGTGACGGTGCAGGTAACAATGCTTAGCATTTTCTTTTTCAGCATAGTTTTTGTAATCATGAATTGCTTGACACATTACTGGTTGTTTAAAATTTGACCCTACAGTCCACCACATAATTGTAGGGTTTTTTTTCTTTCTTCTTTATGTATTAAGGCGTGTTTAGTTTTTGAAAGAGTGAGGCGTAAGTTATTTTTAAAAAACAGTTTTGTATTATGTACTGTTGGTTTTGTTTGGGTGTCAGATGATAATTTAGTATGCTATATCATGTTTACTTAATATTGGATATGATTGTTAGACATTGTTAAAGCGGAAAATCACATGAAAGTTAAGGGAAAATGCAATTCATACACAAAAGGTACTATAAAATACTGGAACAAGATTATGAAATAAGTAGCTTTACTGTGATGTTGCTTCAATGGCAACACTTGAAGATAAATGGCAGTAGGCCTACTTGACCAGAATTATCAAGATGAATTTGACGATGATGGCGTTTGAAGGAGACTGAACAATGATGATGAGAATCTTTGAAAGCAATGATGCAGCTGTTTGTTAGCAGTTTGGGAACATATTTTTAAATACAGCAATGCTTTCTCATTTCTAGGTTTTTTTGGCTGTTTTTTTGTTTGTTTTGTTTTGTACAGTTTCTAATAGAGTCTAAGTAAATTCAGAAGACAACGTGTGACATGTCTTATGTCAGCAATGAGGTATGATCACACACTATAAAAAAAACAATTCAATTGCTTTGTGCCTCCCATCCAAACTATGCTAGATCTAGCCATGCTGTGAGTCCGACCTTCTCAGCTCTTTTATCCTCCTAATTTGGGCCTACTCTTCCTTCCACTTCCAGGCTCAGTATTACATCCAAGCCTTCACCTGCGTCATCCCGTGGACAATGGCTCACCACTATAACACTCGGATATTTGCACAAACCACCATGATGCGTATGTGGCAGCAGTGCCAGACACTAGGTCTGGCGGATGTTCTAGAGAAATTTTCTGTGGTTCAGGCGTCTCTGGATTTTCTCTGCAACAATGGGTATTGTACTTGTCAGTTTTGGATATAACCGACATAATATTTCAATGTACTTTGCTTTTTGATGTTTAACAAAACTTGATAAGTCTCACTACAAGAATTATTGTGTGGCTGTGACATAACCATATATAACAAAATTTTTTGGTTTTTGTCTCATCTAATGTTCATCGATTTGTAGTTTGAAAATATGATTGCAAAGAAATCATTTTTTGCGTTATTCTTAAATACTGTCTTGTCTACTGTGAAATGTTCCCATGTACTGAAGAACTAGATGGCCAATTGATAATTGACTCGTGAAATAAATGATTTTTACCATGTTTCAGTTTGCCACGAGAAATATTCAAGACCCCCTGATCAGGTGTTCTGAAGTTTCCTTTTCTTTTACAGAAATGCCAGCAACACTTCAGTAAAACTTATTAGGAACTACATGTACTGTGGCCTTAACCCTTTGAGAGACTACAGTATGGAGGTAGGTTTGCTTTTTCTTTCATTTGAACTCATATCATTCTTTGTTCCCTCTCCTGTCATCTCAGTCTTTGACTTTGCTTTTTCTCATGTGCTGGCATGTTTTTAGGGCCATGATGAGCATACCTCGAGGTGTAACAAAGTCATTAATGACTGATCTAATGTGGTACTTACTTTTTTACTTTATCTGTCCTTTTTTTGTCAAGGAGAGATGTAATTGTAAGAGATGGGCTAGGTGTGTTGCCTTTTGATTGTCATATAGTGTGCCTATGAAGGGTCTCTTTTGACACCGTCGATCCATCTTTTTCTTGGTCTTTCCTTTGCCTTAATTAAAGTGATCAAATTTCACATTGTACGCCTTTGTTGTAGCTCATTTCACAGCTGGTGACTTTAAATGATGGGGGTTTTTTTTTCTTGTTTTTTTTTTTTTAAAAAAATCTAGACAATTTTCCACACCCTACCTCGACTAGCCAGCTTGGCTGATGATGAGTGGGTGTTGCCACAGCAGTTTGTCCAGTGGGACAAGGCCTGGGAGGATGTGGAGAAGCATCACCTGCCTCTGGGCAACTCCTCTGGTGAACTGGCCCAGTGCAAGGAGGGACCGTGGAGGATGAAAGCTCATGGTAAATATATGGTCGCTTTTAAGGACAGGCGGGCTAACCCAGATTTCGGGGGTTTCCAGAAATCTTGACCTACACCAAAAGTGGGCATTGCCCTACCTATAGGAGAAGTTTGGTTTCATTGGTGTGTATATTTGTTTGGTTACAGAGAAAAATCTCCTTGTCTTTTAAAAAAACTGAACAAGGGGCAAAAACTTTACTTTAGATTTTCTCAAAACAGCATTTTTCGGGATAGCCTACTTGTGCTTAAAAGCGACCATATACGGACAGATAATCTGTGTACCTGTAGACAGCGCAGGTGTAAATGTGGACAGACAGTCATCTGGTGGAAATAAGGAGACATTGTAAAGACCATAAGCCAGGGTGAATATAGAGAGATAGATACCCGGTGTTAAAATATAGACAAATGACCAGTGCAAATGTACTCAGAAAATAAAGTGTAGACGTACTCCCCGATTGGGGTCTACATAGTCATGGTGTCTAGGTGGACCCCAAAATGTTGGATTGTGATTGGCTCGCTGAGCGAGCGGTAATTTACATTGGTTACAACAAAGATACTACACCCTACGGTAGGCTGTACTATCTTTGGTTACAATGCAAGGCTACTGGTCATCTCGGGCGGTGTGTCGATCTAGTGTTACTATAATTTATTTATTTTAGCCCAGAGAGAAAGAGTATTTAATGAATAAACGTATCTAGATATAATCTAGATGTCTAGATCCAGATCTATCTAGATCCAGAATCTAAATCTAGACCGAACTGCACCCTCTTGGCTGGGTGCACAACAAAATCTAGATCTAGATCTACATACGTTTATTCATTAAATACTCTCTCTTTCTCTCTCTCTCTTGGCTAAAATAAATCAATTATAGTAACACAAGATAGACATACTACCCGAGATGATCAGTAAGTAGGCTAAGCAGCCTTGCATTGTAACCAATGTAAACTACCGCTCGCTCAGCGAGCCAATCACAATCCAACATTTTTGGGGTCCACCTAAACACCATGACTACGTAGACCCCAATCGGGGAGTACGTAGACACTTCCACTCAGAAAATAAAGTGTAGACAGATTGGCCGTGTGAATGTAGACAGGAAACCTGTGAAAATTTAGACAGATAGCTCTAGTATTTTTAGGCTGGTATAAATGTTAACAGAAAGATGATGAGGATTTATGTAGAGCGATAAATAGCTGGTGTAAGTATAGACAATTAGTAGTCGGTGTAAATTTCGATGAAGAAAGTGGGTGGTTGGTGGGTGCTCTGGTGTGGTTTGCTCCTTCTTTCCTATCAAACGTCTATATGACCTTATTGTGTTGCAAGTGCCGTATAAACTCTTACTAAAACTAAGAAGAGCTAGTGTAGATGGATAGATAGTGTTGTCAGAAGCCTTACTGGAGAATGTCACTGAGTGCGTTATCTATTTCTGATTGCAGTGGAAAATGAGGAAGACATATCCGAGTCTGCGGACGGAGATGTCCAGAAGAAGATCATGCCGTGGCGTCAGATGTCCCCTGACCAAGAGACAGAGGCAGAGTTGGCGTCTCAGAGACGGAAAAAAGCGGAGGGTGGAGTCATTGTTGTGACGTCTCTCATTGACAAGATACCAAATCTTGGAGGTATTATTTGTGTTAAAGAATTTTTTTAGTTGAGGTTGTGATGTTATATGAATTTTTAAAAGAATAAAAAGAAATTTTAAGTTAGTTGCCTCATTTAACGTCTGGTAAGTCGCTCAGTCTACATGTAGTTGTTAAGTCGGACTGTGAGGACCAAGAAAAAGAAGATAAAATAAAACTGATCAGTGGACCATCTTTGAACAATCAGAAAATAAAGATACGTCTAGAAACTTGGATGACTGCTATCTGAATTAAAACTTACATCTATGTTTTGAGGTTTATTTGATATTTTTAAGCATGTCTTGTTGTTGTCGTAAACAATAAGAAGAAAAATATTCTATGATTTTGTACTGAGTTATGCCTCATCTCTTTGGGGAGGGGATAATTTTCAGAACATGACCTTATATGGGATTGAATTAATTATTTATATTGATTATCTGTTTCAAATCTTCACGTTTCAGGAACGGTGCTTTCACTGAATCCTCAAACTCTAGAAAAAATCATGTCAGACGCCGTGAAATTTATTGGATGTGAGATTCACTGTACAAGTTAAAATATTTTTTTCTCGTCCATCATCAGGATTGTGCAGGACAAGTGAAATCTTTGGTGTATCAGAGTTTGTCATAGGAAATCTCACTCACCTGGGAGACAAAATGTTCCAGAACCTGAGTGTGTCGGCACAGAAGTGGATTAACATAACTGAGGTAAGAACATGTGCTGATTGGAAAAGAAAAAGCATAGGCCTACAGTTGAAATTAAAAATAGTTAACCTCACATGAGTTTTTTTCTGGAATCTGTTGTGGGAAGTCTGGCTGAGGGCCTATGTCCAATCCGACACCCTTTGTTGCATATATTAAAAAGACAGAACTGCTAATGCTTCATCAAGTTGTAGGATATGTCACAGCAATCTGTTTCATAGACATGTGGCATTAAATAGAGAAAAAAAGACTTGTAGATATTGATCTTATAGTGCAAGAGCAGGAAGTATGAGTATTAGTAGATTTATGTGGCAGTCTATTTCTTACTCACAAGACGTCTGTGTAAGTCAGCCTGAAGACAAAATGGACAAAGAAGACTTACGACTTTCCTCTGTCCATTGATGAACCCTGCTTTTTATTTCACTCGAAAAGTAACTACATGGCTGTTTCTGAAAACTTGTAGAGTGTGAAGTGAGTTGAGTTGTTTTTTTTTTTCCAATTACCCTCAGATCAAGAATTTCTTCTGTTTATTTTATTACTGTTCTGTTTGGACTTGTAAACATTTTTATAAGCCCCCTAAAATGTTCAGACTCAAGTGCATGTATTTCTAAAAAAAAGTACCCCAGACCCAACTGAGTTTACAGAGGTGCCACTTTTCCAGAACTTCTGTTCTATGGAGTATCCTATTTGAGGCCACTCTGTTACTTATCTTCTCACATCACACAGGTCACACCTGGGTGTTTCCTGTTCCTGTAAGCCATAGAAGAAGCAACTTGACTGATCCCCATAGTGACTCTGGATGTTCCTCACTAGGTCAAGCAGTTCGACATTTATGACTATACCTCACTTTTACCTGACTTTCTTGCTGCAAGGACACTGGTGTAGTCTCATGTATGGTCTTTTGACTGCACAATGCCTGTGAAAAATATCCTCCTTAACACATTACACCCTAAGGGCCTGGATGGGGAGTCCATTGTTAGATCCTAAGCAAGGGGAAGGAACCCACCTCCCGTGAATACAAGCCTTTAAAAAACACATTAAAAAAATACTAAACAAATTCCAAAAATCCTGAAAAAATAAAAGTTAAAAAGAAAACTGAATGTAGTTTCAGAAAAATATAACTTTATGTATGCACAAACTGTTGGAAATGTTCTAACTTTATTTCAATCGGGGTGTCCGACCAGTCACTCTCACTCTCAGCCTCGCGGTCGGGCCCTAGATCTAAATTCTAGATTTTCTCCGTCTGATCAATCGGAATCGCCCCAAACTCTTCCTACAACGTTTTCATCAAAATCTGAGCCATCTGATTTGTCACATGCTCGTTTTTGCTCAAATCCATCGTTATTTCCGTTTTCGAACTCAATTGTGTCGCTTTTCAACAAGTCGAGACACTTTCGAAGTGTCGGTAACACGATCGCACTTCGATCAGCTCTAATACTAAATTTCGTTTCGGTATCAAACGAAAGAAGAAACTTTTTGCTATACTATGCAAATCAAAATCCCGGCCCCAGAGTCTCGTCAAGGCGAGACTTTCGTTTCTAAAGACGCTGGGTCGGCGCGGGCGGTTCCGGGCGAGTCAGAGTGGAGCGCGTAAGGGAATTCTCGGGCGATCCCGGGCGAGTTAGGGTGTAATGTGTTAATACAATATTTTCTGCCAAATTTCAGGTGATGCGTCCTCGCCTTATTGAGTTTCTGGAAGAGAAGAGACTTGCGGGGTACACCCTGGTCGGTGTTGAACAAACCGCCAACAGTGTCTCCCTGGAGGAGTACCAGTTCCCAAAGAAGACTCTGCTACTTCTCGGGTATGTTTTCTTGTGCTTCTGACTCGTTTAGACCTGATGTCTAACATATTGCTATTTTTTCAATGCAATAATAATAAACATTATTTTTAATACACTCTTCCAGTAGGCTTCGGCCGCCTCCCGGGCAAAGTTCAAAATTTCCTACCAACTGAAAATGTTTAATGTGTCCCCCATTCTCATATAGACTTATGCAGTTGCGAGCGGTAAAACACATAACAAAACGAAACAGCTCTCTTCCACTCATGGAATAATGTTTAGAAGCTATCCTAAATGGAAAATGTTTGTCAGTGATCTATAATTTTAAAAAATAATATAAATAATAATGCAGGTAATTTCTATAGCACCCATGCCCAAACAATACAGCTCTAGGCACTTACTTTACAATTCCTCCATCTTAACACTAAGAACCTGGTCCAAGTTGAGAAAGGCAATGATGATGTTAATCCATATGATATGATTTAGATACTTTGGGAGGCAGGCTGCCTTGACCCTGCTTATCTGGGGTTAACCCAAGCTGAGAAATATATTTATATATGTGTGTGATAATATAATAGACATTTGGTATTCGGGTCACATATAATTTTATTTCTGTTTGTTGTTTCAAACATAGGGACGGTCGTGAGATATTATTTATTTGAAGGGTTTATGTTATGATTCAACAATGATTTCAAGAGGCAGAAGAACAGGACTGAAACCAGACATTTTTTCATTTTCCTCCTTGACTTCCCCACCCCCACTTCTCTGATGAGGAAATTAACTGTCAGCCTTGTAAGTTTTTGCTCAAAGAACATTGTTTCCTAAACCAATTTTGTAAGATCAGGAAATTGTTTTAAGATCAAATTGATGTCACATTTTGGCATCTTTAGCCTCTGCGATTGACTACTAGTCTATTATTAATAGGAACAAGTGGGAAATAGAATGGGCACACAATTCAACACTTTGTGTAACTTAAACACTGTTAATGTGTCCTTTTGCTTTGCAGAAATGAGAAGGAAGGCATCCCAGTGGACATAATCCAGTTGCTAGATGTGTGCGTGGAAATCCCACAATTGGGCATCATCCGGTCCCTCAATGTCCATGTTTGCGGAGCCCTGATAGTCTGGGAGTACACTCGCCAACAGATGAGGCTACAACAACAGAGCAGTTGACCCTTGTAGCAGTTGTAGTCCAGTAGTCCATAACTCTTATTCTACTCAATTTGTATAATAACTGCCCTCTGTGGGTCCCAAATTTTTAGACCTCAAAGGGACAAAATGGTGGATTTTTTTAAAACTCACTCAGTACTACAGGTTCTACCGTGAAACTGCTTCAGGACCACGCAAAGGGAAATGAGTAGGGTTTTTTTTTTTCACGTAGTAGTGTGCACTTCTAAAAACAGGGTGTCCAGCAATTTCCCAAATTAAAAAAATCCTACTTTATCAAAAAAAAATCCTACCACTACCCTGCACATAAAATTTGACACAAAACATTACAAAAACAACAACCACATAATGATAAAGACTTAATCTTCAACTTAAAATTGTCCTTGTGGTTGAAATATGCAGCTTTTCTCCATTCAACTCTGGTCTTGCGGAGTTCACCGAAAGAGCGTTAACCACAGTACTACTTAAAAAAAAAAAAAGAAAGGGAAAGCTCTCAAAGTTCTCACCTCTTTTTTTTCTGTTTTTTTGCTTTAAAAAAAGAAATTACAGTACTAACAGTAAAACCCACCTCTTTTCTTCTTTCTTTCTCCTTCTTTTTAAACTTGTAACTGCACTAAATAATTACCAAAGCTTAACTTTCATCCAAAGAATCTGAAATAACAGTCTTCATTCATTTCAGTAGCAAAAAAGTATAACTTTTTAAAAAAACGTAGTACTGTGGTTGGCCATCCGTGCATTTCAGATGTGAATGTTAATCCCTAAGCAACGATGAGGCCAAGTTCTTCCGACTTCCTTGGGGGGGTTGTCGTAAAAAGGACAGTTCATTGTCCGGAACAGTTGGCTTAGTCTGAAGAGGAACTGGGTGGGGAGGTTTCAGCTGAGCCGTCAGTGCCCTGGAGTCTGCAGTAGGCCTTCTTGTAGTCCTTCTGTGAGTGGTACAGCTCCACGCATGGCACGAGGCAGAGGCCTACATTGCAGTGGATGCACTCAGCTGTCAATTCCTTCCTCTTCCGACCGTCACTCGGAGTTTTCCTCTTTCCAGTGTTGGTAGTGCAAACACCGCAGAGTTGAGTGGCAGGTCTGACCTTTTTCCCTGGTTGTTCCACGGTGCCAGCACGACGAGGGACTCCACTGGAGAAGTGCCTGGCTGTAAGTCCATGCAGTGAAAAATCTCCCAGCCGGAGGCTGGTGCGTCTTGAAGGCTTTTGAGGGATAAACTGTCTCGCCATCTCCTTGGCCAGCTCACGTCTCAACATACGGTGACTGATGGGCTTTTCAGTCGACTCCTTTTACAGCAGGCGTTGAGCTCTGCTATCATAACGAAGTGGGAAAAAAAAACCCTTCTTCCACCACTTCAGTGTCTTCCGCTTCGAAGAGTTGTATATAAGACCATCTGTTCCGACCAGTCGACAGCTCCCATAAACCTGTCCTAGTCCTTCCCCGCATCGAACTTGATGATCTGCTCCCCAATGGCTCTGTCTGCCCGTCCCGTGTCGCTCATCCTGCCACCAGAGTGGATGGATGTCAAGATGTTGACCTCGCGTCGATCCATGAACTTGATATGATTCATCGTTCCCGTTGTCATTAGCTTTACTTTTCCCTTCTTCTTCAACACCTTCTTCCCCGCCATCTCCTTCGACAGTCCCTTCCTGTTGAGCCTGACCGTCCCGCACGCTCGCTGTTGTCTTGTGGGGAAGTAGGTCTATCAGGAGGACTGGGGCAGTGTAGAAATTGTCGATGTATAGTCGATGTCCACACCCCAGGTAGGGAGATGGCACACTCATCATGACGTCGTCAACTGTTCCCTTGGAAGAGGCTTTCTTCTTTCCAGTGCAGACCTCAAACCTGCAGCAGTAAACGTTCCTAGAGTCGCACAGCTGGAAGATGGTAACTCAAAATTTGTCCGGCTTGTATGAGTTGTACCGTGGACGATGGTGTTTGACAGGGATAAGAATTGCAACATAAGCAATGACAATTACAACAAAAACAATTATTATTCTAATAACAACGACAGCAACCAAGAGACGGGACGTGGAAGTAGGGCATACAGAATAAAACAATGTCTCACCCCCCCCCCCCCCCCAAACAACAACAACACCAAAATGAAGAGGGAACGAGGCACATACACAAAAATCCTACCTTAATGTGTTTCAGAATCTCTTGTACAGTGATAATCTTTTCCTGAGGGTTTTTATTTTTCTTGACGAGTTTGTCGCAGACGTTTTGTCACTGAAGTTTCCTGAGTAATTGTTCTGGAAAATGTTAACCAATGGCTTTCTGCACTTCAACACTGGATCTTTAAAAGATGTATTGCATTCATTGCATACTCCGGAATCAAGTCCAAGATCATACAGTCGTTGCATTGCCAAGTTCATGATGGTCTTTCTGTGGTTTTTACAAGCAAGAAACTGTTGTTCACATTGGGTGTCTCTCACGAGCACTTGAAAAACTTTGAAAATTTCCGTTGCAATGTCAATGTAGCGGTCACAAGGCCAAGTGAAGCCACCCTTGTCCGACACAGAGATGTATGTGCAGCTGCCCTCTGCACCCTCAGCTCTCAGTGTTTTATCAAGGCTAAATTCAAATCAACACCCATCGCATGTAGTGTGTCGCAACACCGTTGCTGTTGAATATCCCGACACAAAGACTAAAGCTTTTGTCTGCTCCTCTGTCACTTGCATCGTTTCACAATCACTCAGAAAAGGGATAAAAGCTCTTGTATTCGTCCTCTGCAGCAGTTATTAAAGAAAACCTTCTGTCTTCATGGGGTTCCGTGACTTCCTTCAGCTGGATGGTATCCTGTGATGCAGAAACCAGCTTGGCTTGAGGACAGACAATAATTTTAATTTCTTCTCACTCTCAAGCAATTACTGGATTGAAACATGATAGCTGAAGCCACAGAGTTGCTTATTATATACATCTAGATATCTAGATGGATATTTAAACTTAAAAATCTAGGGCACCAGCAGCTCTCCAGATGTTAGTCAAGGTACATGTATTTGAATTGGACTCCAGTTTGAAATACTAAGGTTGAGATCTCTATTTTTCTTTACTTACCTGCTCAGGTGAAAGAATCAACACGCAAGATACATTCCTCGGTGAAATGTTTTGCACAGACAACAGACTGCTTAGTAGGAATAAAATCTTTCCTTGGTATTGTTGCCAAAGCCTTCTCCAATCTGGGTCTGATGGAAATGTAATCACTGATACACGTTCATTGGTCACACTACTGTCATAATTTTTAGGATCAAAGGCACTGCACTTTGTGGCCGACACACTACACGCTAAGAAATCCTGCGGCATGTCACCCGTCAGCCGCAGCCTGATGACGTCACTTGTCGGCGTGGTGCAGTGTGTAAGGCCATGTGCTATCATAAAGGCCACAGTTGTACACATGGAAGCTGAGATTGCCTCTCCATGCGACCATGGCTTCGTTGATAGCAACGTTGGCCGTTGGATAGTAATTTTCGGTGAAGGTCTCTGCCAGGCTGTTCAGGTAGGGGCTAATTTTGAACAAAGGGTCGTGGTCGACTTCTCTTGCAACAAAGTTTTTGTTGTTGTTTAAATGTAAACAAGTAAGAAGGTTTAAAAATCTGTCTCTTGTCATCCCACTTGCGAAGAAGGGCAAGTTGTAAATGGCATCAGTGCACCAGTATTCTTGGATGTCAGAAAGTGGCAGAAGGCCCATTCCAGTGATAATAGGCCAAAAAAGGCCCACATCTCCTTTTCGTTGGTATCAGTCCTGGTCGCAAGGTGGCCCCTTGATGGTCCAGTTGACTGGAGGCACTGTGCGGTGTAGCGGTTTGTTTCTGTAGTAATATGTGTCATCATACCCACAGACACGAAGAGCTTGAGGAAGTCAAGTGGTGTCGCTCCGTCTCACATCTCAACTTGTCGGCCAGGCTGCTTGACAGGCTCGAAGGATGGGGGACTAAGGTCAGCATCTCCCTCTCTCTACTCCCCTGCGCCGCTATTGGTTGTTTCAGTTTCAACGGTACTTTCACCCTCTTCATCTTCCTTCGCTTGACTTGGTGTACTTGTTGGAAACGACTCATCTTCACTCCCGTCCCCACAAAGTTCACCAAGAGATGTCGTGATACTGCCATGAATAAACTGTGACATGACAGAAGGGTCACTGATATCAAGCTCGGCTGGTTCCATTCTACTTTATCTGATCGCTGCTGACTGCTTGGGTTATCTCAGCGACTCAATAGTGAAAGAGAACAAAGGGTTGTGGTCGACTTCTTCTTTTGCTACAAAGTTTTTGTTGTTGTTTAAATGTAAACAAGTAATAAGGTTTAAAAATCTGTCTCTTGTCATCACACTAGCGAAGAAGGAGAAGTTGTAAATGGCATCAGTGCACCAGTATTCTTGGATGTCAGAAAGTGGCAGAAGGCCCATTCCAGTGATACTTACTTTACTTTTCAGTTTCAACGGTACTTTCACCCTCTTCATCTTCCTTCGCTTGACTTGGTGTACTTGTTGGAAACGACTCATCTTCACTCCCGTCCCCACAAAGTTCACCAGGAGATGTGGCAATACTGCCACGAATAAACTGTGACATGACAGAAGGGTCACTGATATCAAGCTCGGCTGGTTCCGTTCTACTTTATCTGATCGCTGCTGACTGCTTGGGTTATCTCAGCGACTCAATAGTGAAAGAGAACAAAGGGTTGTGGTCGACTTCTTTTGCTACAAAGTTTTTGTTGTTGTTTAAATGTAAACAAGTAATAAGGTTTAAAAATCTGTCTCTTGTCATCACACTAGCGAAGAAGGAGAAGTTGTAAATGGCATCAGTGCACCAGTATTCTTGGATGTCAGAAAGTGGCAGAAGGCCCATTCCAGTGATACTTACTTTACTTTTCAGTTTCAACGGTACTTTCACCCTCTTCATCTTCCTTCGCTTGACTTGGTGTACTTGTTGGAAACGACTCATCTTCACTCCCGTCCCCACAAAGTTCACCAGGAGATGTGGCAATACTGCCACGAATAAACTGTGACATGACAGAAGGGTCACTGATATCAAGCTCGGCTGGTTCCGTTCTACTTTATCTGATCGCTGCTGACTGCTTGGGTTATCTCAGCGACTCAATAGTGAAAGAGAACAAAGGGTTGTGGTCGACTTCTTTTGCTACAAAGTTTTTGTTGTTGTTTAAATGTAAACAAGTAATAAGGTTTAAAAATCTGTCTCTTGTCATCACACTAGCGAAGAAGGAGAAGTTGTAAATGGCATCAGTGCACCAGTATTCTTGGATGTCAGAAAGTGGCAGAAGGCCCA